AAAATAAAAAAATTCTTAACATTAAATATATTAAAAAAGAAAAAAAAAAGATTGAAGGTATATTTAGCTTTTGTTGTGAACATTTTAAAAAAAAAAGGTTGTCAACATTAAATATAAAAAATAAAAATAAAATAAAAATGGAGATTAAAGTGGGTTGGGGAAAATCCAAACCCATTAGGAAATGAGGAGGATGGTACCCATGGGGAATGGGGAATGGGGAATGGAGAAAATTTATTATAGGGGAATGGGGATGGGGAATTAATATCCACCCCATTAACCCCCATTGCCATCCATAACGGCCTATGACTGTCCCGAATCCCCTCACAAAACAACAAAGAGGACAGGAATATGGTATAAACACTCAAAATACCTTGGTTTTAAGGCTACACAGATTACATAGTTGGAATGTAATTAGACAGTTCTAAATGTGGAGTGGTTCTTCTTCCACTATGGTCCTCTTTTATTCATCTCCTGCAAAAATCCTCTATTTCATAATTTTTTGTTTTATCCTTTTTGATTGTTTCATCTTATTATAGGAGAATTAAACCAAGGAATAAGAACCAACTTTTTCTAATCATTATACTCTGTTCTAGAATGAACATGGTACAATGTTTTTTGAATACAGGTGTTCTCAAATGAAAATGTACAATGTTTTGGGAACATAAATTGTTGGGATGCTGGTGTTTCCTGATAACCATGATTTAGACTTATACATACCAGTGTGGACCATATGTAAACAGAAAAAAGGTAAAGCAACTGAACTTTTCAACAAAAGGATCTAGACTATAAAAGTTCAGTACCTGATGAGCAATATCTGGCCGGTAATCAGCAGGATTTTTGTTATTTCTTCTCAGAAAATTAGCATGATCGTCTGAGTTCAAAAGCTGGTAACTCTGTATGGATAAGAAAAATCTATTAGACAAAATTACATGCATTAAGCACTTAATGCAGACAATAAATATAAATAATTCCCTCAAGAAACACAAAATTACAACAATGATGGAAGATCCTTAAAAATCCCAACCAAAATTCAGCGGTAATTTAAACCCAATGATGGAAGATCCTTAAAAAATCCCAACCAAACTTCATGATTAAAAGCTGAAGACTAAATCTTTGAGCGCTTAATACATGCCAAAAAAAGGCCCTCGAGGAACACACAACTACAATAAAAATTCGAAACCACTACATTCCTAAATCCAAAATGAATAAACAAATTTAAAAAAATAATAATAAATCACATAGAAATCGAATTGAAGAAGACAAAGATAAAATTTTTATACAGACCTTTCCGACTTTTGCAACTTCCAGAGAAGCCTTCTCAAGAATGAAAATAGCCCCAGTCTGGGCCTTGTGATCATACGGTTGAATCGGAATACCGACAAGTTCGTCTACATTTTCTGTTTGTTTCCCTTCATCAGGTGCATCTTCTATCTCCTCTTTACCCATTACACCCTCTATTTCCTCTACTGTAAACTGTTCTATGTCTTGTCTATCAGATTTCTCTTCTCTGTCAGATTTCCCTTCTCTACGCTTCCGTTTATGAGGTTTTGTCCGCGCCATTTTGTGGTTCAAGCTTTAAATTTTTTGTAGAAGAAAACAATATCAGCATTGATACAATATTTTTTTATTATTCATAAAAATTAAGAAGCAAAGAACCAAAAGGACTGAGAGACTGAGCTTAAAGGAAGTAGGTATAAATTTTCTTGTAAGTAGAATCTTTTATAATTTGCATGTTTATGGGGAAAATTAATGCGTTTTCTTTCTAATTTTTTTCCCCTCAAATTCTCAGCAACCAAACAACGATACAAACAAATTGTCAGCAAAATATACAAACAAATCCAGAATAGAGACTACATAGATGAAAGAACCAAACTTTGCAATAGTATCTGAATCTGTTCTCACCTTCTTTCCCGGCGCCTTCAGAAGAGGAGGAGGAGAGAAGACTACGGCGGTAGCGAGAAAAGAGCGCGCAGAGGAGCGAGAACCAGCTAGGGTTTGGGCTTTGCCTGTGCAAGCCCGATCCATTATTACAGTTTTATATTTTGATGATTTTTTTAAAATTAAAATATTAATTTATGAAATTAAATAGAGTAAATAGAGTAAATCATTACATATAAAATATAATTATATAGTAAGTTTTGTATTTTGAATTTTTTTTAAATTAAAATATTATTTTATGAAATTAAATATAATAAATTATTAGATATATAATATAATTATGTAGTATGATATGTATCATTTTTTGATTTGTTATGCATTTTATAATATACATCCAACATATCTAGATTGTCTTCTGGTTAGTCTCCTCCCTCTCTCTCTCTCTTTGTGCATAGTTGTTTGATCTGGGCATATCGATTTTGTCAATAACGACTCCAATTCTATTACCATATTATTTTGGTTGATTTTTTGAGTCTTTAACATTTTTTTAAAATTTATAAATAAATAAAAAAAACAAAATTATAGTGTGTAACTTTTCTCAACAAATAAATATAAAACAAATATTAAGATAATTCTCTTATTAAAGAAAACGACTAAGATAAGTTACTGAACTAATAAAGAAACAGAAGAAAATACATATATATACAAATGACTAATTTTATTAATATATAAATCATACTCACATAATAAATAATCAATTTTTTTAAAAATTAAAATATTGTTTTATAAAATTAAATAGAATAAATCATTAAATATATGATAGAATTATGTGGTATGATATGTATCATTTTTTGATTTGTTATACACTCAATGATGTCGACTCCAATTCTATTACCTTATCATTTTGGGTAAATTTATGAGTCTTTAATATTTCTTTTGAATTTATATATAAAAAAATTATAGTGTATAGCTTTTTTCAACAGATAAATATAAAACAAATATTAAGATAATTTCTCTATCTAAAAAAAACTACTAAGATTAGTCACTGAACTAATAAAGAAGCAGGATAAAATAGATATATATATATATATACACACAAATGACTAATTTTATTAATACATAAATCATACTCGCATAACAAATGATCAATTTTATTAACAAGTAAATTAACAATTTTTAATGATATGAAAAAAAAATTAGTTAACCATTTTGTTAATAAATAAATCATTAAGTCAATTAACAGTTTTTAATGATATAATAAATATTTTTCAATAAACAATTTTGATAATTTATTATTACATAGGAGATTTTTTTTTTCCCTTGAATATTGTGTTAAATTAAAATTTATAACAAACAATAGTTGTAATTTTTAATATTATAAAACTGATTCATATTTTAAACAAACTTTATGAGTGTATTTGTAATTTGTTCAAAAACAAAATATTTATATTTCATAATTGATCAAGAATGTTTGCGTAATTATAAAAAAAAAAACTCAGTCCGTACGGATTAGAGGGTACTGTTGGGCCCGTGAGGGCCTATCACAGGTCCCGTTTTGATAATCCAAATCATTCAATGTATATAACTCGTCAAGTACTATATCCCTGTAAAATATCACGTTGATCAAATATCGATAGTTATCTCATCAGATCATATTTCTTTCGACCGTTTATTTTTTCACCGTCTATTTTTTTTTATATACAAAATTGATTTGATCACGTAACTATCGATATTCGATCAATATAATTTTTTGCAAGTTATAGTACTCGACGAATTCTATACATTAAACGATTCAGATTATCGAAACGAGACCCGTAGTGAACTTTCACAGGTCTAACAGTACTCTCTAATCCGATCACAGACTAGAGAAAAGCCAAACCCTTTAGAAATTATTAAGTTCTTTTATCTCTCTTTCATATTTATTAAATTGTCAATTTTATTACATTTCTCATCATCATTAAAGGTGTTTGGGAAAATGAGTTTGGCTAAAATAGTCAAATAAAAACAAAATAAATTAAAATAGTTAATAAAATAAAGTGTCATTTTTAAATCATAATTATTTCACTTTTTTTCTCACAATCATCAAATCAATTACCATCTCAAACGCAATTTTTTTAATCAAGTTAAAATAACTAAAAAGTCAATTAAAATAACTAAATTCTCAATCGAGTCATAAATAAAATTACTATAAAGATCTTAAAATTTGAAAATAAAAATCCTTTTACGCTTGACCTTCCTTGACCACTCTTCACCCAATCCCCACTGCCTATCACTATTACTAAGGCTGCAAATAAGCAGAGCTAAACTGAACTTTGATGAGTTCAAACTCAAGCTCATTTGCTCTGATCGACTTAGCTCAGCTCGATAAAATTATTATTATTATTATTTATATCATTTAATATATAAATAATATATTTATTATATAATTTAAATAAAGATAAACAAACCAAAAGTCGAGCTTAATCGAATTCAAGCTCAGCTCCTTTACTAAATGATTCGAGCGGAATCATGTCTTTAACAAGCCAAGGCGAGCCGAGTTAATTCACTAATAATTGAATTCATTTGCAACCCTAACTATTTCCACTCTCCCTATCACTCGCCACCCCTCCCCTTCCACATGTTACCATGTGTCACTATTCAATCCCCACCATAACCACCTTCCCCTTTCCTCACGACCACTACCCTCCCTTCACTCCCCAACCTAACTCGCTCTCCCTTGCCATGGACCTAGTTTGGAGATGAAAACATACTAGAGCAACACAATCACCCTCTCTTCATTCCCCAATCTAACCTCTCTCTAAACATATTAGGGTTTTGATTAATTGGTTGGGGTTTGTGGCAATGGAGCAGTGGTCATAAGGGATTGAGAGTGGCAGTCATAAGGGAGGGTGACATTATGAGAGCGAGGGCAATCACAAGTTGTGACAGATTAAGATTGTGTTTGATTTATAAATTTCAAAAAGAAAAGAAAAATGTGTAAAATGTAAATAAAATATGATTATATTTTACACACATTTCACCTATTATTATTATTATTTTTTTCCCTTTTCAAATTTCATCTCAAATTCATAAAGTAAATACAGGGTAAGAAAAGTCATGGCAAGGTAGCAAAGAGAGATAGGTGGATGTAATTGGAATCACATTCTTTAATCCTACGAATGTCTTAAAAAAAAAATCCACCAAAGGCAGAATAAGTTTGGGCGTTAATCCAATCCCAATCTCATCTGCGAATGAAACTTGACCAATGGCAATGGGTGTTGCTACGACCATTGGATGTGAAATTACCATTCATACCAGAAGCATCATTTTTACAAATTTCATTAGCACGACTTGCAGCCAAAAAACAAAAACTAATTTAATTTACAAAACCTTCCCAACAATACTATGCATTTCGTGATCACCATAAATATTCTGACCTACAAATATAGAGACCACAAAAATAAAAATAAAAATAAAAAGAAGAAAGTGGGATTCATTTATTGACTCCTTACAGCAGCTAGTTGCTTCTTAAGGTTGAGGACCTCCAGAGCATAGGAAGCCAACTGAGCCTTGAGCTTTGTGGAAGCCTCTTCAAATTTCCTGTTCATGACATCCAACTCTTTCACTGCCTCCTCGTATCTAATTCGAAAGGCATTGGACTTTGCTTGTGTCCCTCGCAGCCTCATCCTAAACTTTGCCTTTTCTATACTGTTGCTGACTTCACCCTGTTTATGTAAGAAGCGTTACATATAGAGAAGCAAACCAAGTAAAAAAGAACATGAAATTAACAGTTGAAATCCAAGCTCAGTTTGTTTGCATATACATGAAGCACAACTTGTGGCTGATTAGATGGCAATGACGATCATTTTTTCCCCTTCTAATTATATAGGCTATCAATCCCTACTAAGTGTACATCATATGTTCAGTCAAGCTACTACAGAACCCACTCTTGGGAGTCATGTACCATTTGTATTGGCAGAAAACTTTTTATGAAATTTTTTTTAAAAGATGTTTTCCATATGTCTGGTGCCGATCTTAAAAACCAATGTGTCAGTGGTTGTATTGCTGGTGGTGAAGGTGGTAAAAGATGCACCACCTATTCTATAGGTAAGAGATGCAATACAGAATTTTTACCGATAAATAAATAGTAACATGGACACTTACACTCTGCATTTTTGCTTCCAGTCTGGAAAGCTGACCAGTCAGCTCCTCCACCTCAGCCTTTGCCTTCAGTAACTGTCAGTAAACAACCATCATATTACTTGCTATCCCTAGATAAATTGAGGTGAGAGAGATAAGAACAAAAACCTACATTGTCATCATAATTTTCCCCACACAAATCCACTTCAACCTCAGGGCTCTGCTGCTCTTCAATCTGAGCCATTAACTTATCCCTTTCCTTTGTAATAATAAGAAGCTCGTTTTTAAGAATCTGCCAATGGAAAATAAACAATTAATTAAGCATAGCAGTACCAGAAATCCCCAAAATAGTTTTCCCCTCTTTTGCAAGTAGAAATCAATTTTTTTTTTCTTGGTGGTGTAAAAAACTCTAGCCTATTGGTACTTCGTATAGAGCCAAGATGAAACCTGGAAGTCATCTATCAGAACTGATCCCTTATGTAAATCTCTGACTTGGTTTAACAAATCTTCCTTTTCTTCATTGAGCACACTTGACTCCATCTTAAGCTTCTCTACTTCCACGCAAGCATGATGATGCTCTGAAGCAAGCATTTGTAGTTTTAACTTCAAATCCTGTAGGTAGAATTAGCTAAATATGCATACCAAGCAAGTCACAATAAAAAGAAGTTCTATAAACAAGTGATAGCACAGTGGCACTTACTTCTACTGACTTTTTACACTGTTCATCAGCAACTTTAAGCTCATTTCTTAGCCTATCATTCTCCAGGGATTTCTCCATACTGCAGGAAAATTAATAGTATGAGGCTATTGTTTTCTGAATTGGTACCAAAAATAATTTGTATAAAGTAGATCCAAAAGGAATACAGGTTGAAGATTCTGTGCACTTGATATGCTATCAGCCTGTCAGAGCTTGGTGCAGAGAGTATGATAAAACCAAGGGCAAGGCAATTCAGGAATTTCTCATGGGATATGCATTGGGTCTTGAACCCAGGTTTTTTTTCAAGTATTTTGGGTTTTGAACCTAGTCGATGCTTTTGTATTTATGTTAAAAGAAAAGTTTTTGTATATATAATTGAGAAGCTATTTAATGCTTATGTTAAAAGAAAAGTTTTTGTATATATAATTGAGAAGCTATTTAATGCCAGAAGTGCAGTAAGTTGGCACCACTCGGAAGTATAATAACTAAAACTATACCAATGAACCAAGTTTCTGAAAAAAAAAAAGGCTAAACAAACCTGCAGGTTTTTTCCAATTTCAAATTTTCCTCAGAGCATGTCAATCTTTCCTGAAGGACCTTGCATTCTTCTCTACAGGATGCTAACACATTTCTCACCTTACAAGTTAAAAAATATTCATCGTCAAAACACGTGACACCAATTTGTAAGCAACAAAAACAAAATTGTGGACTGTAAGTTTAATTTTCTGCTGTAAAAAGGTAGATACAGACTAACAACCCAAAACAGTTGAGACTTTTGTTGTCCTAAGAGTAAATATTGTATAAAGATATATGTGAAGCTGGAATAGAAACAACTATATGAAGTCCGATAAGAAACTGCTGGAAATTTGTGTTAATGTATATAATATGATAGTGGTGTTGGTGAAGGATAATGGCATGTATATAATATGATAGTGGTGTTGGTGAAGGATAGTGGCATGTATAGAATATGATAGTGGTAGATAGTGGTAATATATAATATGTAAGTGGCATATAATGGGTTATAATGATGTTTGTAATATCTCCTATATAAGGAGTGTCATTTGGTCTTGTAAAATAAGAAGTTTTGAATATAACAGAAATATATTCCTTCTTCCTCATATTTTCGAAGTTCTTCTTCTTCATATTTTCTAAGTGATCCCCAAGCAACAGGTTACTGGATTGTCAAAAGTTAGTTACTTAAATCTTTATAAACAGCTATTTTAAGGGTTATGGTGTTAAATTAAAAGGCCAAAATGTAAGGAAAAGAGTGAAGGTTGATTGAGGCTTGGTAGGATTTTGGTAATGAAATAGGCTGTTTGCTACTATGAAGGATGGTTTAAGCTAAGTGAACATGCCCTCAACTTCTCTTCAGCTAGTAGATACAACCATTTGACATGTATGAGCTCCCAGACCTTTTCTATTACTAGTAGATAGACTCTAAATTAAGGATGTAATCATGTAAGAAACTGACTGAGCAGTAAAGACTTAAAAAATATCACATAATTACCAATAATGATTTAAAACTACCCTTGGCTCTTAAAACTTAATAAACTTGAACTGTATCAGCAACACAAAAAATAACTCAAATTAAACTGAAAGCTTGATTGGATATGGTCCAACTCCAAACCATCTCTATATGGAATTCCTAATGCTGGAAATTTGTGTTAATGTATATAATAAGATAGTGGCATGTATATAATAAGATAGTGGCATGTATATAATAAGATAGTGGCATGTATATAATAAGATAGTGGCATGTATATAATAAGATAGTGGCATGTATATAATAAGATAGTGGCATGTATATAATAAGATAGTGGCATGTATATAATAAGATAGTGGCATGTATATAATAAGATAGTGGCATGTATATAATAAGATAGTGGCATGTATATAATAAGATAGTGGCATGTATATAATAAGATAGTGGCATGTATATAATAAGATAGTGGCATGTATATAATAAGATAGTGGCATGTATATAATAAGATAGTGGCATGTATATAATAAGATAGTGGCATGTATATAATAAGATAGTGGCATGTATATAATAAGATAGTGGCATGTATATAATAAGATAGTGGCATGTATATAATAAGATAGTGGCATGTATATAATAAGATAGTGGCATGTATATAATAAGATAGTGGCATGTATATAATAAGATAGTGGCATGTATATAATAAGATAGTGGCATGTATATAATAAGATAGTGGCATGTATATAATAAGATAGTGGCATGTATATAATAAGATAGTGGCATGTATATAATAAGATAGTGGCATGTATATAATAAGATAGTGGCATGTATATAATAAGATAGTGGCATGTATATAATAAGATAGTGGCATGTATATAATAAGATAGTGGCATGTATATAATAAGATAGTGGCATGTATATAATAAGATAGTGGCATGTATATAATAAGATAGTGGCATGTATATAATAAGATAGTGGCATGTATATAATAAGATAGTGGCATGTATATAATAAGATAGTGGCATGTATATAATAAGATAGTGGCATGTATATAATAAGATAGTGGCATGTATATAATAAGATAGTGGCATGTATATAATAAGATAGTGGCATGTATATAATAAGATAGTGGCATGTATATAATAAGATAGTGGCATGTATATAATAAGATAGTGGCATGTATATAATAAGATAGTGGCATGTATATAATAAGATAGTGGCATGTATATAATAAGATAGTGGCATGTATATAATAAGATAGTGGCATGTATATAATAAGATAGTGGCATGTATATAATAAGATAGTGGCATGTATATAATAAGATAGTGGCATGTATATAATAAGATAGTGGCATGTATATAATAAGATAGTGGCATGTATATAATAAGATAGTGGCATGTATATAATAAGATAGTGGCATGTATATAATAAGATAGTGGCATGTATATAATAAGATAGTGGCATGTATATAATAAGATAGTGGCATGTATATAATAAGATAGTGGCATGTATATAATAAGATAGTGGCATGTATATAATAAGATAGTGGCATGTATATAATAAGATAGTGGCATGTATATAATAAGATAGTGGCATGTATATAATAAGATAGTGGCATGTATATAATATGATAGTGGTGTTGGTGGTAGATAGTGGCATGTATAGAATATGATAGTGGTGTTGGTGGTAGATAGTGGCATGTATAGAATATGATAGTGGTGTTGGTGGTAGATAGTGGCATGTATAGAATATGATAGTGGTGTTGGTGGTAGATAGTGGCATGTATAGAATATGATAGTGGTGTTGGTGGTAGATAGTGGCATGTATAGAATATGATAGTGGTGTTGGTGGTAGATAGTGGCATGTATAGAATATGATAGTGGTGTTGGTGGTAGATAGTGGCATGTATAGAATATGATAGTGGTGTTGGTGGTAGATAGTGGCATGTATAGAATATGATAGTGGTGTTGGTGGTAGATAGTGGCATGTATAGAATATGATAGTGGTGTTGGTGGTAGATAGTGGCATGTATAGAATATGATAGTGGTGTTGGTGGTAGATAGTGGCATGTATAGAATATGATAGTGGTGTTGGTGGTAGATAGTGGCATGTATAGAATATGATAGTGGTGTTGGTGGTAGATAGTGGCATGTATAGAATATGATAGTGGTGTTGGTGGTAGATAGTGGCATGTATAGAATATGATAGTGGTGTTGGTGGTAGATAGTGGCATGTATAGAATATGATAGTGGTGTTGGTGGTAGATAGTGGCATGTATAGAATATGATAGTGGTGTTGGTGGTAGATAGTGGCATGTATAGAATATGATAGTGGTGTTGGTGGTAGATAGTGGCATGTATAGAATATGATAGTGGTGTTGGTGGTAGATAGTGGCATGTATAGAATATGATAGTGGTGTTGGTGGTAGATAGTGGCATGTATAGAATATGATAGTGGTGTTGGTGGTAGATAGTGGCATGTATAGAATATGATAGTGGTGTTGGTGGTAGATAGTGGCATGTATAGAATATGATAGTGGTGTTGGTGGTAGATAGTGGCATGTATAGAATATGATAGTGGTGTTGGTGGTAGATAGTGGCATGTATAGAATATGATAGTGGTGTTGGTGGTAGATAGTGGCATGTATAGAATATGATAGTGGTGTTGGTTATGATTTGACATCATAAACAAATATTAATCAAAAAAGTCAAAAGTCACTTTTTACCAACTTCCCAAATCATTTGTCTAAAAAAGCCAAAAATTTGATTAAAAGCCAAAAAATTACTTTTTACCATCTTTCCAAAATAAGCCTTAATCCGCCAAACAAACTCAAGCCAAGTGGTAATACATTAATCTAATCCTTTATTTTGAAAGATATAAATGCACAGCAAATGACGAAAATGCCATTACTAAAACACATAACTGCCAAACAGTTATTCCGTTGAGAAGAATCGCAAGAAATCCCGAAGAATGTCTTACGTGCCAGAAGGCGTCCGACGAAAGAAATACCCTCAAACGCCTCTCTCCCTCTCTCCCTCTCTCGTCCAGATCCTCTGCACCGCAGTGTTCCTATAGTGCCCCTAAACGATGTCGTTTTGGGACAAAACTAATCCCAAAAAAGGACGGAAAAAAAAAAAAGAAAAAGAAGTTGAAACTGTGAGGACGGAATAGAGAGCATCACCGGCGTCCTTATTCTTCTCTCTTTGTTGCAGATCTCCTTTTCTATCGTAGATGTCTTTCAGATCTGTCTCAGATCTCTTCTCCTAAATAGGGGTTTCCAGATCACCAAGAAGCAGAGGAGGAAGAGAGCTCACGCTAGCGGTGGTACGAGAGTGGACGACAGCGTAGGAAGTAGTAGGAGGAAGAGCAGTTGCGCAGCTGAAAGGTTGTTCCCAGGCGGCCTCGATCGCCGACGATGGATTTGGGGTCCACCTCGATCGCCGAAGAGCCATCTCTCATCTCCTTTAGAGTGGTCTCCATCAACAGGGTCGCGTTTCTCTCTGCTGGTCGGCCATTAGAGCTCAAAGCCGCTACCACCACAGGTACATGGACTCATCTCTGTGAATGAGATTGATAGTGACGAAATGGGTTTGGCTTAAATCCGATTTCAAAATCACACCAAACAAAACGAGGCCAACGCTGCTTCAGATTATTATCAAACCCAGAAAACATAGGAAACTTGGATTGTTTTGGGTTGAGATTACTGAATCAACATAATAATACCTTAATTATTCATTAATGGCCTTGATTTGTTTCAATTGAAATTTGCATTGTTGGTCCAACATTCAACAATCTGAAAAATGAAGAGAGAGAGAGAGAGAGAGAGGGAGAGAGAAATAATCAAGAAATTTCAGTGGTGTTTAGTGGCTTGAATCAATTGTCGCAAGTCTTCTCGCCGAAGTGGAAGGGGAAGGGCTCAGCTTCTGCTCTTCTAATTCTTATTTTCCAGATTTTTTTTTTTTTTGGGTTAATTTTGTCCCAAAATGACGTCGTTTTGGGACACTACAGGAACCACTGCAGGGAAGCACTACAGAGGATCCAAACTCCTCTCTCTCTCCTCATTTTTACTTAAACCCCAATCGTTGTTTCATAAACAAACAAAACTGCTCGGATGTGTGTATATATAGAAGATATACATACACATACATACTATCAGATTAATTTAGATTAGTTATATATAAATCTGTATAAGGAGTTTCTTCAATCTCATCTCAATTTTCTGGGTAATTCTCATTTTGTTTCCAGTCACCTAAACGCAGGGATTCCAAGGTAATTCAATTCCATTTCTTTGAAAGGAACTAATCTCAAACCCCATTTCTCTCTGTTTCTTTTCCTGAAAAGATAGATTTTCATTCGAATGTAGTCTTTGAATCCGTCAAATGCCCCTGTTTTCAACCGATTGATCTTTGCATAAAGGGATCACGAGTCTTCGGCACAATTGCTTGTTTTGTTTTGTTTTGTTTTGTTTTTGCTTTTCACAAGTATGATTCAACTATTTTTGGGTTTTCAAATTCAAATTTTCAAATTATTTATATTGTTCTTGATATTTTTTTCCAATCCATTTGAATATTTAAATGTCAACTTTGTAAAAATTGATGTATTTGTTTTTCATTTGTATTTGTGTATATATATATGATGATTTATTTGGTTGCTTAGGAATATTGGCAAACATTGAGAGATAGGAATTAAGGATGTTGGGAGATTTCTTCACCAGAGGACTTGTGTATGTTATCAACCGATCATTCTTTTCTACCACTCTTTGATTCCTTGCTTTTTCTTTTTCTTTTTTCTTTTTTTTTTCTTAAATGAATATTCTTGGATTATTGACCTAATTAAAGGAAGATTCTTACATGTTTGATTGGCAGTCTGGTCCTTGGATATGCTTACCCTGCGTTTGAGTGTTTCAAAACAGTTGAGAAGAACAGAGTTGAGATCGAAGAGCTTCGATTTTGGTGTCAATATTGGTAAGAACAGAATTGCAATTGAAGTTGACTCAAATATGTTTTGTGAAATTGTTGGTGCTAGTCTTTTTAAAATGTCTAGTGTGGTACAAGCTAATCAAATTTTATTTTTTAAAACTTTGGCATGGTTACCCCTCTCACTTTTACCTAAGCAATTTTTTGTAAATACAAAACCTGAAAACTAAATATAGTTTGTTTATAGTCAATAATAATAATAGGATCATTTTCAGCTTTCAAACAATAACGACATGGTCATCGAATAAAAATAGCTGGTGATAATTCAAAGGGTGAACAAATAATCCAAAACAATTGAATATGTATGAAAAATTAGCGATGATGGCGATTCATACTCTTCAATGCGTGAACTTATGAGCAAGAATTAATGGATGTGAAAGAAGTTTCAAGAAAAAATTGAAATGAAATAAAATGCCATGAATTTGTTGATTTCTAGTTGGTTCTAAAAACAAATCAATCGAAGAGTCTCTTCATTTCCAACTGTTCTTCAACTTATTGATGTGATCATTTCCCAATCAAAAAATAGATAAAACAGAGACAGAATAAATACCCAGAACAAAAAACTAGTTTTTGATTCAACAGGTTTTCGAGAACTTGTAGATCGGCATGAATTGTCATGAATATGTGGATTTCTAGTGTAGATGATTCCAAAAATGAATCAAATGAAGGGTCTCTTCTCTTCCAATCCCTCATGATAAATTCCCTTTAAAAAAACAAAAAACAGAGGAAAAAGAAAAAATACCCCCCCCCCCCCCCCCCCCCAACAAAAAAAGAAAAGAAAAGAGAGAAATAAAATTAATAGTTCTTTTGTAGACAAGTTAAATTCATATAAGTAAAATTAATATGATTTGTTTGCTCATTAAATAAAATTAGGAATATATAAGATTTCCTAGATATATGGATATCCCAATCTTCATGTTCATATTTAGAATCCAGACAAAGATATCTTCACTGCGAATGACTGATAATGCAATCATAGTATCAGCAAAACATGTTGAATTTTTATGATTCAATATGCAGGACAAAAAAAACACTTCAAATGATTATTCTAGCTTTGAAATCTATTATCGCAACTCCCATATGCTAACTTTGCTTTCTTTGCATTCACTTTAAACTGTAAACGTGTTCTAGACTTCTTAACAAAGGCAAATTTAAAAATTTTCTTTTATCCCGAATCATGTGTCTCTCTCGTAAGACTGAGAGCAGTAAAAAAAAAGAAAAAAGTATCAAATCGTACCATCTCTGAAATAGGTAAATGCCTCTTTTTCTCTTGAAGTCGTCAGAATTATTCGTAATAAGATATTGGCAACAATTGAAAAGGTCTTATCAATACAATTTCCATTTATCTGCGATCTAGGCATAGGTAGAAATCCATTCTATAATTCTTCTCATTACCTCTCATGGGAAAATGATCCCACTTCGAGAACAAATATTGGACCGGGAAGAAAAGGGGGGGAAAAGTTAAGTCTAAGCGCATATGGCACGAAAAGGAAATCCGATTTCGGTAAGACTTGATATGAATCGTAGTTCAGAGTCAAGTCGGTTCAGCCATCAAATTTAAGCACAAGCTTCTTTTATTTTATTTTATTTTGGATAAATCACAAAATGCTTTTCCATTTTGGCATTGATATATGTGAGGCGCAGACCTTCACTATTTAGGTTGAGCGGTGAGATTAGTTGACTTATATATTGATAAGTCTGCACCTAGGCATGTTGGCTAAAGCTAAGCCATCTAACACTTAATTTGTCCATTTAGATCCATATGAAGCTGTTCTGCATATTTTCCCCTGCCTTGCTCTCTACATCAAAAATATTGTAAGAGAACATTTATGGATATACTTTGTTTCAATGTGTCTAATTGAAGCCCACTTCTTCACCTGGAATGTCTGGTCATAGGAAACAGAAAGACCCTTTGCCCTTCTCGGATCAAACACATTTGAACTCCTGTCAATAATGGAATCACGCTTCCTCCCAGCAAGTGACTCCCGTTTGCTGATATCACGCTGGAGAGACTTTTGGGCATGCAATTTTTTTAATTCTCTCTCTGCGCATGCTTTTTCACCCTACAAATTAGAAAAAAAATGTAAGCAATATATTATAGGATAATCACCACGGGAAATTCACAACAGATAGTATAAAACCTCAAGTTTGGTTTTCTCCTGGATTGCATTCTTAAGCTTGGACTCAGTCTCTCTCAACTTTGTTTTTGTTTTCTCGAGATCCTTTCTCAAAATTTCCTTTTCCCTAGCCAAGGAGGAAGATGATAAACACGATATTTCCTTTTCGAGACATCGAATTTGAGAAAGGAGCTCAGACTTTTCCAAATCATGTTGTTCGGAAAGTTCCTGCAAGAAAACTAAGCGTGTCATAGAAGGCACACACCAAAAAAATAAAACAGAACTGAAAGTAACTTACAGATAATGCCTTGTCAGAATCTTGAACCTTTTGACTTAATTCTTGAATCTGACTGTGGAGATCCACAGATTGATTGTGCAAAAGAAGCTGCATTCAACCATCCAGACAAAAAATTCTCAAAAATGGTTAGAGTGAGAATAATCTCACAGATTTCAATGTAGACATGCACCTTCTCATTCTCAAGTTCATTGACTTTGTGCTTCATACAGTGGTTCAACCTCTCATGGTTACTAATAATAGATTTTAGTTGCATCGAGTTATCGCATGCCAAAGACTTGAAGTCCTGCATCACAATAATTACAAGAATAGAATAGTCATGCAAGGATTCAGTTGACAGATGATCTACAAATATAGCACCAGAATGAACAAATTATGTAAGGTGAAGACTTAACATATAGTTGAATAACTATTACACAAACTAAATGAAATTTTTTTGAATGGCCAAGTATTCAAGATTACTCACAGTGAAAAGGTTCAATATAGCAGAAAAACTCTGGAAAAGTTCATCCACAATCAAAGAGACGCTCTCAGCAAGATTTCTTGAGTTCTGTACTTCTGATGTTATTTCTTGCACTTCAAGTAATAGCTTGATCGTGGAGTCAAAATTGTCCTCCTAAATGATGCTTGCAAAACATTAAGTTTCATAGGCTTGGGAAAAAAATCACTTATATGATAAAAAACTACCATAATTTCTTGTAATAATAGTATAATATTATAATATGAGTCCAAAAGAACCATCAGCAAAATTGTAAACAAGCAAAAGATGCATACATCAATTGTCCTGACAGATTCCACAGAAGTAAGTTGTTCGCATGCAATTCTAGCCTCCTCCCGTGCATTTAAAAGCTCTTCATAAAGCTGCAAAAAAAAGGCATTCATAAGAAAACAGAAAGAACATTAAGACCAACCACTCACAGGCCCATTACAACCACAAACTGAGAAGGCTGAGATGCACATACATCTCCCTAAAAATAAAAGTGAAGCAGGCTTGTGTTTTCTTTTAGGAAGATTCACTTGCATCGAATCCATTTCAGTCAATAAAAAATAAAACTAAAAATTTAAAAATATTTAGGAAGACCAATAAACCTTTCTTAATTTGCAGTCAATAGAACAACTTCAGTCCAGTCAACCAAAACCAAGACAAGAAAACAAATTTATAACTTTCCCTGGGTATTTGGAATCTAAAGGACAAGACAATTAATGACCTCGAATTCCTAAAATTACACCACCTACACCCCAAGTGCAAGACAGATTTATAACAAATCAAAATACAGAAAGAGGATGAAGTTTTAATACAGCATCCAATAAAATATGCAACCACATAAGGCAAGAGGAAGACATCATTGGACAAAAATGACAATAGAAAATAAGCTGTACTAAAACTCTAATTGATTACATGGAACATAACTCTAATATGTGGATGGAGTGCATTGATCAATACAACTCACATCGAGCCTTTCTGTTCACAGCTCCTTTTTTAAATTAATTGACTAAGGAACCAATGAGTTATTCTGCATTCTTACACTTAAATAGCAGAGCACTCAAAGCATGAATCAATCGACACATGATTACCTCTTCATACTTCTCCGTGGCGCATATGTTCTGCTCTGTTGCTAACTCAACAACACAATCCAAATTTTGTTGGCTTGAAGACTTCTCCACCTCTAACATGTTAATCTGCAGGATAGACAATAAACTGAGAATGACGTATAATACAAAACCAATGAGATGGAAATTTATAAAAGAACAGCAACAAAGAGATGATATAGACCGAAATTGACAAACCTTTTCTTGGAGTTGCTTAATCACAAGAATAGCCTCTGACTCCCTCAAACTTTTGGTTGCATCCCTGTGAATAGTACTTTTATCAAGATGATATGTAGAATAGGCATTACATTTCTCATGCAGACATAAATCAGCCTCGGCCAACTTTCTCGTTAAGGAATCAACTTCTATCTCACTCATAATCTTCTGCAAGTTGGAAAGGGCAACTAATCAGATACCACAGCAAGTAAATGTCTTACAGAAACATTAATAACAAGGAAGCAAGGATAATAACCTGAGTTTCAAATTTTAAAAGCAAGTCTTCATATTCTGCTTGCAGTTCTTCTAACTCATTGTTCTCCTGTCAGACAAACAATTAATAAAGTGCCAAAACTTAAACAAGAAAATGAAGAGAAAAAGAAAAATAAGAAAATGAAGAGGGAGAAGATATTATGCAAACCACAAGTAAACTTTTCTTCCTGAGTGGTGCTTTTTTCCGGTTAGTAACATGTAACAGAGCACGTGAATCTGGAAGAGTACAGTCTTCGACTGTGTTATTATTGCATTCTTCCTTCGGTTTGCAGGGGTTATCCATGCTGGCATCATCAACTAGCTCTTCAAAAGGAAGAAGCGGTCCCATATCACGCTCAGGTCTCATGGGTTTCACAGCAGAAGCCTTTGCATGGACTATTGAATTCAACTAAAGCACCATGAAGACATGAACGTTAGATTGTATCTATGACAAACTAAATTATTGCATATTTGGGAAAATCAAATATTTTAATGCCACATTTACTTTAAAAGTATATTTAAGAGTTGGCTAACAAGCCAAGTTAAAAATTAAAGAGATACCCATAGATATTTATGAAAATATAATTGAATGTATATAATTTAAATTTAAAATAGAAAATAAAAAATAAAACATCAGCATATGGAAATTTCTAAATGTAAGAATCACCTTTAAACAAATCTTTCTTGTTCAAATAGATCACAATGACATACAATACAACTTAGCTCATCTGGACAAAGCAATAAATGCCAACAAGCTTGAGGTCAGGTGAACATAGAAATCACACTACCATAATAATATGACAAATAAAAGTCTTACTAGAAATTAGGAACTTGGAAATCACGAAATGAAAAGGAATATATGGGAAAGCTTACAAGGTCTGAAATCTCTTCCTCTAAAGTATTCATTTTTGAGTTTGACATGTTCAAATTGTCAGATAGAGCTTGCAGGTCTGAAGCCAAACTTTGACTTCTAGAAATGGCCATTTCTTTTTCCTCATTTGCTGTTGCTAATTCCTCTTCTAAAGAGGCAATAGTTGTCTCCATCTCAAATGCAAGAACTTCTAGCTTCTTGTATTCATCCTTAACGTCAGAAAAAAGCAGAAATAAATTTTAAAACTCAAGTATGCAACTTGTTCTGAACAATTTCAGTCATATAACACTGAGAAAACTGTGCAAAAGGAGAAAATTCTTCCTAGCTAAGCGAAATTGCCCCCCCCCCCCCCCAAAAAAAAAAAAGAAAAGAAAAGAGAGAAATAAAATTAATAGTTCTTTTGTAGACAAGTTAAATTCATTTAAGTAAAATTAATATGATTTGTTTGCTCATTAAATAAAATTAGGAATATATAAGATTTCCTAGATATATGGATATCCCAATCTTCATGTTCATATTTAGAATCCAGACAAAGATATCTTCACTGCGAATGACTGATAATGCAATCATAGTATCAGCAAAACATGTTGAATTTTTATGATTCATTATGCAGGACAAAAAAATCGCTTCAAATGATTATTCTAGCTTTGAAATCTATTATCGCAACTCCCATATGCTAACTTTGCTTTCTTTGCATTCACTTTAAACTGTAAACGTGTTCTAGACTTCTTAACAAAGGCAAATTTAAAAATTTTCTTTTATCCCGAATCATGTGTCTCTCTCGTAAGACTGAGAGCAGTAAAAAAAAAGAAAAAAGTATCAAATCGTACCATCTCTGTAATAGGTAAATGCCTCTTTTTCTCTTGAAGTCGTCAGAATTATTCGTAATAAGATATTGGCAACAATTGAAAAGGTCTTATCAATAAAATTTCCAATTATCTGCGATCTAGGCATAGGTAGAAATCCATTCTATAATTCTTCTCATTACCTCTCGTGGGAAAATGATCCCACTTCGAGAACAACTATTGGACTGGGAAGAAAAGGGGGGAAAAAGTAAAGTCTAAGCGCATATGGCACGAAAAGGAAATCCGATTTCAGTAAGACTTGATATGAATCGTAGTTCAGATTCAAGTCGGTTCAGCCATCAAATTTAAGCACAAATGCTTCTTTTATTTCATTTTATTTTGGATAAATCACAAAATGCTTTTCCATTTTGGCATTGGTATATGTGAGGTGCAGACCTTCACTATTTAGGTTGAGCGGTGAGATTAGTTGACTTATATATTGATAAGTCCGCACCTAGGCATGTTGGCTAAAGCTAAGCCATCTAACACTTAATTTGTCCATTTAGATCCATATGAAGTTGTTCTGCATATTTTCCCCTGCCTTGCTCTCTACATCAAAAATATTGTAAGAGAACATTTATGGATATACTTTGTTTCAATGTATCTAATTGAAGCCCACTTCTTCACCTGGAATGTCTGGTCATAGGAAACAGAAAGACCCTTTGCCCTTCTCGGATCAAACACATTTGAACTCCTGTCAATAATGGAATCACGCTTCCTCCCAGCAAGTGACTCCCGTTTGCTGATATCACGCTGGAGAAACTTTTGGGCATGCAATTTTTTTAATTCTCTCTCTGCGCATGCTTTTTCACCCTACAAATTAGAAAAAAAATGTAAGCAATATATTATAGGATAATCACCACGGGAAATTCACAACAGATAGTATAAAACCTCAAGTTTGGTTTTCTCCTGGATTGCATTCTTAAGCTTGGACTCAGTCTCTCTCAACTTTGTTTTTGTTTTCTCGAGATCCTTTCTCAAAATTTCCTTTTCCCTAGCCAAGGAGGAAGATGATAAACACGATATTTCCTTTTCAAGAGTTCGAATTTGAGAAAGGAGCTCAGACTTTTCCAAATCATGTTGTTCGGAAAGTTCCTGCAAGAAAACTAAGCGTGTCATAGAAGGCACATACCAAAAAAATAAAACAGAACTGAAAGTAACTTACAGATAATGCCTTGTCAGAATCTTGAACCTTTTGACTTAATTCTTGAATCTGACTGTGGTGATCCACAGATTGATTGTGCAAAAGAAGCTGCATTCAACCATCCAGACAAAAAATTCTCAAAAATGGTTAGAGTGAGAATAATCTCACAGATTTCAATGTAGACATGCACCTTCTCATTCTCAAGTTCATTGACTTTGTGCTTCATACAGTGGTTCAACCTCTCATGGTTACTAATAATAGATTTTAGTTGCATCGAGTTATCGCATGCCAAAGACTTGAAGTCCTGCATCACAATAATTACAAGAATAGAATAGTCATGCAAGGATTCCGTTGACAGATGATCTACAAATATAGCACCAGAATGAACAAATTATGTAAGGTGAAGACTTAACATGTAGTTGAATAACTTTTACACAAACTAAATGAAATTTTTTTGAATGGCCAAGTATTCAAGATTACTCACAGTGAAAAGGTTCAATATAGCAGAAAAACTCTGGAAAAGTTCATCCACAATCAAAGAGACGCTCTCAGCAAGATTTCTTGAGTTCTGTACTTCTGATGTTATTTCTTGCACTTCAAGTAATAGCTTGATCGTGGAGTCAAAATTGTCCTCCTAAATGATGCTTGCAAAACATTAAGTTTCATAGGCTTGGGAAAAAAATCACTTATATGATAAAAAACTACCATAATTTCTTGTAATAATAGTATAATATTATAATATGAGTCCAAAAGAACCATCAGCAAAATTGTAAACAAGCAAAAGATGCATACATCAATTGTCCTGACAGATTCCACAGAAGTAAGTTGTTCGCATGCAATTCTAGCCTCCTCCCGTGCATTTAAAAGCTCTTCATAAAGCTGCAAAAAAAAGGCATTCATAAGAAAACAGAAAGAACATTAAGACCAACCACTCACAGGCCCATTACAACCACAAACTGAGAAGGCTGAGATGCACATACATCTCCCTAAAAATAAAAGTGAAGCAGGCTTGTGTTTTCTTTTAGGAAGATTCACTTGCATCGAATCCATTTCAGTCAATAAAAAATAAAACTAAAAATTTAAAAATATTTAGGAAGACCAATAAACCTTTCTTAATTTGCAGTCAATAGAACAACTTCAGTCCAGTCAACCAAAACCAAGACAAGAAAACAAATTTATAACTTTCCCTGGGTATTTGGAATCTAAAGGACAAGACAATTAATGACCTCGAATTCCTAAAATTACACCACCTACACCCCAAGTGCAAGACAGATTTATAACAAATCAAAATACAGAAAGAGGATGAAGTTTTAATACAGCATCCAATAAAATATGCAACCACATAAGGCGAGAGGAAGACATCATTGGACAAAAATGACAATAGAAAATAAGCTGTACTAAAACTCTAATTGATTACATGGAACATAACTCTAATATGTGGATGGAGTGCATTGATCAATACAACTCACATCGAGCATTTCTGTTCACAGCTCCTTTTTTAAATTAATTGACTAAGGAACCAATGAGTTATTCTGCATTCTTACACTTAAATAGCAGAGCACTCAAAGCATGAATCAATCGGCACATGATTACCTCTTCATACTTCTCCGTGGCGCATATGTTCTGCTCTGTTGCTAACTCAACAACACAATCCAAATTTTGTTGGCTTGAAGACTTCTCCACCTCTAACATGTTAATCTGCAGGATAGACAATAAACTGAGAATGACGTATAATACAAAACCAATGAGATGGAAATTTATAAAAGAACAGCAACAAAGCGATGATATAGACTGAAATTGACAAACCTTTTCTTGGAGTTGCTTAATCACAAGAATAGCCTCTGACTCCCTCAAACTTTTGGTTGCATCCCTGTGAATAGTACTTTTATCAAGATGATATGTAGAATAGGCATTACATTTCTCATGCAGACATAAATCAGCCTCGGCCAACTTTCTCGTTAAGGAATCAACTTCTATCTCACTCATAATCTTCTGCAAGTTGGAAAGGGCAACTAATCAGATACCACAGCAAGTAAATGTCTTACAGAAACATTAATAACAAGGAAGCAAGGATAATAACCTGAGTTTCAAATTTTAAAAGCAAGTCTTCATATTCTGCTTGCAGTTCTTCTAACTCACTGTTCTCCTGTCAGACAAACAATTAATAAAGTGCCAAAACTTAAACAAGAAAATGATGAGAAAAAGACAAGTAAGAAAATGAAGAGGGAGAAGATATTATACAAACCACAAGTAAACTTTTCTTCCTGAGTGGTGCTTTTTTCCGGTTAGTAACATGTAACAGAGCACGTGAATCTGGAAGAGTACAGTCTTCGACTGTGTTATTATTGCATTCTTCCTTTGGTTTGCAGGGGTTATCCATGCTGGCATCATCAACTAGCTCTTCAAAAGGAAGAAGCGGTCCCATATCACGCTCAGATCTCATCGGTTTCACAGCAGAAGCCTTTGCATGGACTATTGAATTCAACTAAAGCACCATGAAGACATGAACGTTAGATTATATCTTGTTAAAATCCACCTACTCTCCACCTACTTCACCCACTTAAACCTACTCCACTAAACCTAACCCACTAAATCCACATACTCTCCACCTACTTCACCCACTTAAACCTACTCCACTAAACCTAACCCACTAAATCCACATACTCTCCACCTACTTCACCCACTTAAACCTACTCCACTAAACCTAACCCACTAAATCCACATACTCTCCACCTACTTCACCCACTTAAACCAAACTGAATGGTGTAACAACTTGCAAAGGCATCAACCATTACTAATGCTATCTACTCTAGGGTATGGAGGATGTAGCATCAACGCTTTATCATGTCTGTACATATACTAGCAAGTACAAGCAGATGGAGGTGTAGTTGAACTTTATTGTTTTGAATTGAAATGCTAGCTAACAGTTTGCTAACCAGCACTAACATCTCACTAGATTTTTTCTATTACTGCTCAACTATCTACTAGAGTCATATTTTGACATACTAGTGAAGGAACAAGAAGGAAAACTACTAGACATTTCAGTTATACAAATATAACCTAAACTGAAATGGCAATCAATGAATGATACAAAAGTAATCGATGTGGTGGTACAAAAACTAAGCACAATGTCACCCCACTTGAGAAAAGAAAAAAAAATTACATGTTTTTTAAAGGATAAACACTATTATCATGTAATGCTATAGATGAACCAGACAATTATGATGTCTGGAAAACAAGCTATGAGACGTACTTGTGTTTATCTTGTCCTGTTCTTGAAGGCTCTCCTCCATACCCTTGACTCTCAGCACCTTCACTCAATTTCTTGATGACAGTTCCAAGTGTCATTAGGCTTTTATTAATGTGAGAACCTTCTTTCAAACGAACACCTTCAGCACCCATCTTCGCAGCACGCTCTGAACCAGCAAGGTCCACCAAGTTCTAAAAATAGACCCCCCAAAAAAAATGAGATGGATGGAGAAAATAAGCAAAATATTGTATATCACAGCAACAAATATCTAACAATTATTAGCAATCCAAAAATAAATATTATAGGAAGTATAGAAAATTTTGATGAAGCATACCAAAACAGATACACGAATAGCATCACAAGAACTGCCACTATCTTCATCTTCACTTCTCTCCTTACTCTCAATAATCTATGCAAATGGAAAATAAGCGTACAAGATTGCACAATTATAAAAATTAGGATATCAGAAAGATTAGTAACTTTACCATACGAAAAATTGTATGTGATCTGCTACTGTACAAATTCATATTCGTCTCCCCAATATGTCGATGAGCTGTAAATCAAAATCCAAAAGATAGAAAAAGAAAGTGTTAAATTGTATAATTTGCTTATGAATTTAAGAATTAAATGTCAAATTGCAAGTGACTTTCAAGGTTGAAGGTGACCTTATTTAAAAGACTGAAACAACCTTATATAAGAACAAGGGATAGAAGTGTGCCATAGGCACTCTTTGCGTGTGTGTGTGTGTGGGGTGGGGTGGGGGGGGGTGTTTGTGTCAGGACAGGTGGAAATGCCCTTGAAGACTACTTTAAAAAGAAGAAATTTAAGGGATAGAAATGTTCAAAAAAACCCACATTTACCGAACTCCATAAGTTCAAGGATTTGCTCAGGAGAGGCAACGATTTCTTCTTTTAACCTAGCAACAAATATTCCCCGCTTCATGCATGAAGGAAATCAGAATAAATGGACAGTCAGTCATTATTTATCAGAACGATATCAATATCAGTTAAGTAGGTCCTAGAGGGAAGTAATAAGTACCTCAAGACTTTCATGAATCTGCAGTTTTCGGTGCTCAGGAGCTAGCAAATCATTTATTTCCTCATTATATATCTCCATATAGGACATTCTTAAAAGAAACTCTCGATCCATATCCTAAAGCATTAAGATTATAGAAGAGAAACCAAATCAACAACTTGAACAATAACAGCTACCTCTTGTATACTATCGAACAAATCACGTACGGCATGAGGTATGACTCCAGGTTCAGAAGTTGAGCCTCGCATTGTATGTGTTTTTCCACTGTTAGTTTGTCCATAAGCAAAAACAGTGCCTACAAGAGGGCAAGTGTAGAGAGATAGAGAGTTTGTAAACATAAAACTAGAAATTTACATGATCAAAGTAAAGTGACCATTGGGGCCAATGGGAGTTCAAATTCATACCTAACACCAAATTTAATAAACGTTATGTTAGAATATTCATTTATATATTTGTAATTATCTGTTTTCTGATTTCATGCCTTAGGGCTCTCCTTGTAAGTTATGTTACTTAATTAATATAAAAGGGAATGAATTGATATTCATTCACCAAGTTTTGATTTTACCTAAACAAACATGGTATCAAAGCCCAAACCCTAAACCCAGCTTCTTCCGCCACCTTCCATCACCACTCTAGAAAAACCCATCTCCAGCCAACCCACCACCACCATTTTTCGGTCTCTCATTTAGCTATCCGGGGCTTGCGCACGCAGCAGCAGGCCTTCCAGGCTCAGCCGATAGCCGTCGGAGACCATCCAAGCCAGGACGAAGCCAGTCGGAGGTCACCCAGGACCAAACGCCTTCCGTCAGAGTTCACCCAGGACCAGACGACACCATTTGGCAGTTCGATTGTCTGTTTAAGTCTAGTCGGCAGTCCCTTTGTTCCTTTGTGGCTCTCGCATGTCTCTGTGAGGTTTGGTACTGATATACTGATCTTGATACCTTAAAAAAAAAAAAAAAAAAACTTGTTTTGATTGAGGTTCTGGTTTCAGTATTATTTTTGGGTCAATAGATGGCCCCAATAATTTGATTTTCATGCTCCCATAGTGGTCTGTGATTGTCATTATTTGGTTGTTTTCTTCCTCCCATAGTTGTGATTCCTACTGGTTGTGGTTTAAAAAAGTAGCATACTCAGATGGCCGAAATTACTAGTGAATCTACCACTCGTATCCAGCCACCTCAAGTGGAGAGCCTCATTATGCTTACTCAATCCGAAAACTACAATCCTAGCCTCAAAATTACCACCTCGCTGTTTAATGGTCAGAATTATCTAAGCCTGGTCGCAGAGTCTGACTCTTTTTTTGAAGAGCAGAGGGAAGATGGGTTATGTTGATGGAAGGGTTCAACCACCAGGTCCCAATGATTCTGGTTATGACCAATGGGAGATTACAAACTCCTTGATTATGGGGTGGCTTATTCATTCTATGGTTCTGGATATTGGTGAAGGCTACTTGTCCATGGAAACTGCCCGGGATGTTTGGGAAGCTTTGGCTGCCACCTATTCTCGCAAGGGCAATTTTTCGCAAACCTTTGAGTTGCGTCATTCCATCGAGCGCTCTGTATAAGGGGAGCAAACTGTTCTTCAGTACTTCACATTTCTTAACAATGGCTAGAAACGTCTTAATCACTTGTAGGACTACAAACCGGTTTGCACTACTGATTCCGTTGGCTACATGAAGTTTATTGCACAGGAGAGGATCTTCAAATTTCTGGAAGGTCTTAATCTGGAATTTAATCCGGTTCGCAATCGTGTCCTTGGCATGGATACTCTTCCTTCTCTTCAGGAGGCCTTTGCTTACGTACAAAATGAGGAGAGTCGTCATTCTACTATGATGCCAACTGCTTCTCTAGAACACTCTGCCTTACTTTCTGTTCCTCCTCGGGATGGAACCAATCTGCCCATGCTTCTCCTAATCCTTCTACAAAAGACCCTTTGTTCTGTGATTACTGCCACAAGCCACGACATACTCGTGAGACCTGTTGGAAGCTTCATGGGGCTCCATCTGGCGATCGAGGTGATCGGTCTGGTTCTCGCGGAGACCGGTCCAGCCAGTCTAGAGGACGTGGCTTTAATCCACGGGCCCATCAGTCTAGTGCAGTTGGCATACTTGATTCCACTCCAGCCCCGGTTGGCTTGTCCTCTGATGGGGTATCTGGCCTGTCTTCTTCTAAGTTTGAGGATGTTTTGCGTCAATTGTTGGACCGCCAGTCTTCTACCACTCCTCCAGATGCATCCTCTTCTTCATTTGCCCGATCAGGTAACTTAGCCTCTCTTTCCAGTGTTTTCCTATTCCATAAGTCTGTCCCATGGATTATTGATCTGGTGCCTCAGATCATATGTCTGGATCTTCTGATCTTTTCTCCGACTACAAGCCCTCTTCAGGACACGACAAAGTTTGCATTGCAGATGGTACTATTTCTTCTGTCTCTGGGAAAAGTTTAATTCGTGCCACTTCTACCCTTCCTCTCTCTTCAGTTTTACATGTTCCTAATTTCTCTGTTAATCTTTTATCCTTGAATCGTATTACTCAGGATTTGAATTATAGTGTGACTTTTTTCCCTGATCATTATCTTTTTCAGGATCTTATCACGGGGAGAACGATTGGCAGTGGCAAAGCAGAACATGGTCTTTATATCTTGGATCAGGCTAACAAGGTTGCACATCATTCTATCCAGTCTCTAACCAAGGATGATTTATGGTTGTGGCATCGACGTCTTGGTCATCCCTCCTTTTATCTGCTTTAACATTTATTTCCTTCTGTTTTTACCAAAAATAATGTGTCTAACTTTCAATGTGAGTCTTGTCAACTTGGCAAACAAACACGAGCTTCTTTTGCTCCTCGTATTAATAAAAGCGTAGTTCCTTTTTCTTTAATACATTCTGATGTTTGGGGTCCATCTCGTATTGTGTCATTGAAAGGCCATAGATGGTTTGTCATGCTTATCGATAATTTTTCCCGTACTACTTGGGTGTATATCATGAAAAAAAAGAGTAAGGTTTTCTCTGTGTTTCAAAATTTTCATAAAATGCTTTGTACTTAATTTGGGACTGTTGTCAAAATCTTACGTTCGGATAATGGGGGTGAATACATTGATTCGGGGTTAGAGAGATATTTTTCCACTCATGGCATTATCCATCAGACTTCTTGCACCAATACCCCGCAACAAAATGGGGTCGCGGAGCGCAAGAATCATCATCTTCTGGACATGGCTCGGTGTATGTTTTTTTCTATGGGTGTGCCTCAGTCCCATTGGGGCGAGGCCATTCTCACCACTGCCTATCTCATTAATCGTCTTCCTACTCTAGTATTGCATAAAAAGGCTCCTCTCCAAGTTCTCTTAGAGTCCGCTTCTCTGTTTTCCATTTCTCCAAAAATCTTTGGGTGTCTGTTTTGTTCACAATCATTCCCCTGCACGTGATAAGTTGGACCCTTGCTCTCTCAAGTGTGTTTTCATCGGCTACTCCCCTACTCGAAAGGGATATAAGTGTTATTATCCTTCTTCTTGTAAGTGGTTTGTGTTCATAGATGTCACCTTCTTTGAATCCCAGTCTTACTTCTTATCTTCTCCGGTGCCCCAGCCATCCCTTCAGGGGGAGCCTTGGTGTAAAGAGATTCTTGTTGTCCCTGTTACTCCTATGGTTGTCTCTGTTACTCCTATGGTGGAATCATTTGTTCCTCCACCACCTATTGCTGAGACTATAGACTTTAATGCCACCAAGGACAAGGAAGAGCAAGTTTATGTCAGGGACAAAGACAGACAGAAAGTTACTTGGATGCAAAAGACCACTTCTGCTCACTCACTGCCATCTCCTACTTCTGATAAGAGTCTAGGTAACTTTGACCCTGTTGTTTCTCTTGAGTCTACTGATGTTGCTATTCGCGACACTACTGATCTTGATATTCCTATTACCAAGAGAAAGGGTGTGAGATCTTGCACTCAACATCCTATCTCTAATTTTGTGTCATACTCTCATTTGCCATCCTCATATAGAGCCTTTGTGTCCAACATTTCTTCTGTGAGTATAACTAATCATTTTTAGGATGCTCTCACTACCTCTGAGTGGAAACTTGCTATGATTGAGGAAATGAAAGCACTTCGTAAGAATGGCACTTGGGAATTGACTGAGTTACCTAGGGGCAAACGAACCGTGGGATGCAAATGAGTGTATACAGTAAAGCACAAGGCAGATAGTTCAGTTGAGCGTTATAAGGCTCGACTTGTAACAAAAGGTTTTACTCAGACATATGGGGTGGACTATCAAGAGACATTTGCTCTAGTTGCGAAGATGAATTCTGTCAGGGTACTCCTCTCTCTTGCAGCTAATTTGGATTGGCCACTTCACCAGTTTGATGTGAAGAATGCTTTTCTCCATGGTGACCTAGAAGAAGAGGTGTATATGGACATTCCCCCTAGTTTTGAAGATCTTCAGACAAAGGGGAAGGTATGTCGACTTCGAAAGTCACTATACGGTCTCAAACAGTCTCCAAGGGCTTGGTTTTAGAGATTTACTCAAGCGATGGTGAAGTATGGTTTCAAACAAAGTTAGGCTGATCATACTCTGTTTGTTAAACATTCCTCCCATGGTAAGACGACGGCTCTCATTGTGTATGTGGATGACATAGTGCTTACAAGGGATGATGTTGAGCAAATTCCTCTGCTAAAGAAGTATTTGGCAAGTGAGTTTGAGATCAAAGACTTGGGAAATCTGAAGTATTTTTTGGGTATTGAAGTTGCCAGATCCAAGGATGGGATTTTCATCTGTCAGAGAAAATATGTCCTTGACCTGTTGAAAGAAACAAGGATGCTTGGAAGCAAAGCCTGTGATACTCCTCGAGAGCCTAAGCAGAAACTGAGTGATGATATTGGAGGAGCAGCTGTTGATAGGGGGAGTTATCAGCGATTAGTGGGTAAGCTCATTTACTTATCCCATTCTTGTCCTGATATCTGTTGGCACATAAATTTCAACTAAATTTATGACACGTATAGAGCCTATGATAGGAAGGTTGTAGGTAATCACTTCCTAAAAAAAGATCAATATGATCCGTTGAAGTACATAAATAAAACGACGTTGTATCTCAACGACGTTATTCACAATGCTCAAGTGACACGTGGAGCCTACGAAAGATGACACCTGTAGAGCCTACAACAAGGACACCACACAGGATGAAACCCCAAAGATCAATCCGGTTAATCAGATATACGATTAATCGTTATTATTCAAAATTCAAATGGCGCTATCATTCAATTTGAAATTCAAATTGA